ACTGCCCCCCGCCCCTCCCCTCACCTCAGTCCCACCCACTCCCGCCCGGCCCGCATTCCCACAACTTATCATTATCATCGTCGTCTTCGTCGTCGTTGTCGCTACCATCGTCATCCTCATCACCACCACCTCCCCACTCCTCATCGTCTGCCGGAGCAAAATACCTACACACTTCGTCATCGTCGTTTTCGTCGTCGTCATCAATATCGTCCCTGGAGCCGATGTCCAGCCGCCACACGCCCCCGCCCCCTCCTCCCTCGTCCCTCCCCCCCTACCCGACGTCGGCCCAGCGTAGTTCGCCGCCTCAATACCACGAGCTGTGCCAGCCCCTCAACCTGTCCCTGTCTCACAGCTCCGCCCCCGCCTTGGACCCGCCCACCTCCCGACCCTCGCTCATCGCCACTTCCTGTTTGTCTCCCCCTGCGGGCGGGCCGGAGTCCCCTTACAATGGCGCTGTGCACTCGGAAGTCGCGGGGGGTCGGACAACGCTGAGAGAGGGAGGGCCCAACCACGAGATGGCAGCACAAGGTACAACTTACAAAATATCAAATAATAATATCACAATATTAATTAATTATTGATAAATTATATATAAATTACTTTTTTATTGATCCCCAAAGGGGAGTTTGGGTTACAGTGGCCAGTATTGTGCTTTATTCTATTCTTTTTTTTGTCTTTTTTTATTCGTACGCTTATCTTTTACACCCCCATCAACAAAGATTGGGCTTTGACTTGCGGCTGAATTACAAAAATAGGGGCAGATTACAGCGTTCAACAAAAAGGGGAATTGAATTTATGTGGAGTACAGGATGCTTCTTTTTTTTTTGCAGAAGGATCACCATTGTTTTTATGTGTCGTGAAAATACTGTGGAGTCAACTGTAACCGAACATGGTGACCGTCTTAGACAATTTCATGGGTGGTTGACAGGTGCTCTGGTTTGGTTTGCTCCTTCTTTCCCATCAAACATCTATCATCCTTATCTCTTCTCCTTTTTTGTGTTTGTTACTCTCTTGTAACACCTCTAATCTTCAGCACTTATATGACCTTATTGTGTTGCAAGTGACGTAAAACTCTTGCTCAAATTTCGACGATTTCGACTGTAGTTACAAAATGAGTAATGTTGATGAAAAATGGATTTTTATTATTATTTAGTAGAGGTTTCTACGGCACTCGCAACTGCATGAGGTCATATGAGCGCCAAGGGGTGGATGTCAACAGAGTAGTCCTTACAGGGAATCAGACTTACTCTGTTCACCTCTCTAGCTTCAACAGCACAAAGTCTGTTTTGACTTTCAAGACACCCCGGAAGTAGGGGATCACAAGAGAGTGAGAAACATACAAAAGAAGTAGAGGAAAAATGACGATAGTAAGGATTAGGAAAGAAAAAGCAGCAGTTCCCTGTTGTAGTCAGGCACAGTTATGAGCATGACATTAATGAATCTGCCCATACTAATCACGTGTCTGTTTTCTCTGTCTCTCTCTTTCAGTGTCTGATGAAGCAATAGAGGAACATTTCCGTCGCTCACTGGGCACCTGCTACTCGGAAGTTTCCCCGACAAAAGTCGGCTTGACGTTTGATGTCCCAGAAAAGAAATGTGAGTATTGATTCAACTTTTGTTGGTTTCGCTCCTGTCTGAGAAAGATGTTTTTTTCTGTTTTAATTTGAGAAGAATTAGCCTTTTTGTTGGTTCAGCTGTGCATGTTTTGTTGTTTTTTTCCTTGTGGTCAGTGCCGTATTGTGGTGGATTGTGTAGGTTTGTCCCCATGGTTTTATGCACCCCCGCATAATTTTGCAAAATTAGATTATTTTTTGCATAATTTCTGATTATTTTTCTGTATCATTCTGTGTTAAAATTAACAGAATCGCATAATTTCACATTTTTGGGCTCAGTTTGTATAGTTTCAGAATTTTTTTCGCTTAAAACCGCAGGGACGGGTAGGTGAAGACTTTCAATGGGAGGATGTTGGGTGGTCTGGTGTGGTTTGCCACTTCTTTTTTGTCAGATTTTCTCTGTCTCTCCTTGACTTTTGTGTCTATATTACACTCTAGTAAAACCTCTAATCTTTGGCACTTATATGACCTGAGTGTGGGTGGCTGGCGGGTGCTCTGGTGTGGTTTGCTCCTTCTTTTCTATCAAACATCTATCATCCTTATCTGCCCCTTCTTCTTTTTTAAGTTTGTTACTCTCTTGTAACACCTCTAATCTTCTGGTGCTCATATGACTTTATTGTGTTGCAAGTGCAGTAAAACTCTTACTAAAACTAAGTTTCTCTTGTTGTAGTGCTAATGGGTTTCATTCAACACTTGTGTTTCCACAGGTTCTGTTGACGACCACTTCGCTCGCGCTCTCGGAGACAAGATGTGGACGGAGCTGAAGGCGAGATCCGAACCCCAGTCCCTGGACACTCTCCCCGGCTCGGTGGACGCCCACTTTGCCAAAGCCCTGGGCGCGTCCACTTGGAAGAAGCTGAGGGCGGAGACACAGATGATTGGCCTTGGCCCACCTCCGGTGCAGCCGCAGCGAGCGCAGCAGCCCCCGCCCGTGGTCCAGACGTCTCCGGCCAGTTCCTCCCTCCACAGACCCCTCGCCACCTAAAGTGTGCTGCGGACTCCGTTATAACCAAGCTCTGCGGGCGGTGGAGTCTGTTATAACCAAACTCTGAGAACAGTGGAGTCCGTTATAACCAAACTCTGCGGACACTAGAATCCGAGCAGACTCCGTTAAAGCCAAACTATGAGGGCAGTGGAGTCCTCTTAAACTGAAATGTGGGACCGCTGCATTTTTTTTCCGGTTAATTTGAGTTTCTGATTTTTAGAGAGGTCGTTGCTCGAATAGGCTGAAAAAAAATTGGGGGTTCCATTTTCATTTTTCGTTCGGTTGTCAGCTGTTTTTGGATTAAACGTGTTCAGTTTGAGCGGCTCCACTGTATAGCGTGAGGACCCTGATAAAATAAACATTGACCTCTTGTGAATGTGATGTACACACTTGAGTGTACTTACTCCCCCCCCCCCCCCCCCCATAGCCATAAGGAATAGCCACCTCCCTCCCTTCCCTCCCCGTTGCCGCAGGTGATTGTGATTTTGTCCTGAGAAAAAGAGCGAAGGAGCGAGCGATGCAGATTGTAGATGCGAGCAAAAGATTCAGTGGTGGTGTCCTCATTTTTGCCATAAGTCACGTGAACAGCGAAGTTTGAAGCTGGAAGATTTATTTATGCTTCATATTATTATATTGTTCTGCAGATATTTGAAAATTTGTGGATTTCCAGAGGTGAGTTAGCTTTCCTCTGAGTGTTAGGGGCAACCACATTATATATTTATGATGTCATTATCATATTACTTCATAGATTTTATATGTAAGAGGATGGGTGTGGTGGTATAGTTTAACTGATTCTGACTCGTGTATGACTTGCCGTTAGATCATGTATTATATCTTTGTGCTCATCTCTGATCTGATGCCCAATGTTTTGTTTGCTGCCCTCGCCGTGACGACAGAACTACCTTGTTGCTCCCGTCTCGTCAATCCTGGTCTCTAAACTACAGCAACACGTTCACATTTCCGCAATCTTTTTCCATTCAGTCATCGTTGTTTTCATCAGAAATTTGAATTTCTTAGACAGTGGCAATTGTATATAATGTACTTATTATTATATTGAAAATGCAAAATGTACAAGTGAAATATTTTTGAGAACTGTAAAAAAAAAATTGTTGTATGATAGTCAATAAATGCTGTTTATTATTGAAAAATGAACGTTGTGCCTTTTCGTCTTTTTTAAATTCTGTTTTTTTTAAAATCTAATAATAATGTTCTCTTTTTTCTTGGAGGGTGTTGCAATGTAAAAGAAATGTTCTCTTCTCAAAGATCAAAACAGGATGGTAAAACATTGGTGCAACGTAAGCTACAAAAAGTGAAGATTGAACAACTTTTGCCTTTTAAAATTCTGCGCACCTCTTGCTGACAAGGCCGCCCTGTCTCTGCCATCCCAATCACAAGTGACCTTCGACTTCTACCAGTACCTCTATGGCCACTATGGGTTGGCTACTTTGATTTCTCTCACTCATAATTAGTTGTTCAGTCTTATGCTATCCCCGTAGTTTTATGCAAAAAAAATTCTGAAATTATGCAAACTGAGCCCAAAAATGTGAAATTATGCGATTCTATTAATTTTCACAAAGAATGATAAAGAAAAATCAGAAATTATGCAAAAAAATGATCTAATTGTTCTAAATTATGCGGGGTGCATAAAACCACGGGGACAGCTTTTGTAAGAAAGTCACTCATTCAACCATTTTGGTTTGTGTGGTGTTTGGGATTGATTGAAAGTGGGTCATTGGTGGGTGCTCTGGTGTGGTTTGCTCCTTCTTTCCTATCGTACATCTGTCGTTCTTATCTCTACTCCTTCTTTTTCTGTGTTTGTTACTCTCTTGTAACACATAATCTATTCTTTGGCACTTATATGACCTTATTCTGTTGCAAGTGCCGTAAAACTCTTACTAAAACTAAAATTGATTGAAAGTCAAGACCAGAAAGAATGCTCAATGCTCTTATTCTTTTCGAAAGGAGCTGAGGTAGAAATAATTTTTGCCACTACATCGCAACTTGGTATTGTCTGAGTAATTTGTCTACGATAGCATCGTGTAGCGATGCACAATGGCCACTGTCAAAGTGTTACAGTCCCGCTCAAATGAACCTAATTCTTCTCTGCTGACGTCTATGGAAACTTTACTTTTTATTCTTCTGATCCAGCGGCCTTCTGAGTTCTAGCCCTTTGGTTTGGATCCCCCTTTGTTAAAAGGAACTATGATTTCCCTGTTCGGCAAATGCTATAGATGGTATTATGGAGAAAAATATATGGAATATTCTCAGCTATTTTCAGCAAAAAACATTATCTTGAGAATCATTCTATTGAATTGGTTTAACCCTATCTGTACGTCGTGTTTTACTATCGTATCCATACGATGTGGGGAACTCTGTGCCACCACTTTCCAAAGAGGAAATTTACTCGTTAATCCGATCCGTACGCTTTGCATAGCAGTCTGTCAAAATGATTTTTTTAGAAATACTGAAAGTTTCAAAGAGATCTTCGTACTATAAGCATTCTAAAATGTGAAGAATACAACCTCGCGGATACAAAATGACCCCAGGGCGTTCGGATCGGTTTAAGTTGTGTCTTCATTACTGCACCGAGGCCTGATACATGGGCAGGTAGAAAAAGAAGACTAGTCGGTGGTTGGCGGGTGCTGTGGTGGGATTTGCTTCTTCTTTCCTGCTATTAAACATCTATCGTCTTTATCTATCCTCCTTTTTTTGTGTTTGCTACTCTCATGTAACACCTGCTCTAATCTTCGGCGCTTGTATGACCTTATTGCGTTGCAAGTGCCGTAAAACACTTACTAAAACTAAAAAGGAAACTAAATGAGAAGAGGATAATGACAGGTAGATTTAGGTACCTTTGTACATCACTAGATTCCTTCTTTTTTTTTTTGGCCCTGCCCAATTCTATCATCCGGTGCTTTTGTGTTTAGTAATAACAACAAACTGTACTACATTTTGGGTTTTAAAATTAGCTGTTAGTCTTAGAGTGAACACACAGGAAAATGTTGTACATATAAAAATAAATACATGAATAAATAAGTAAATACTTATGTGAAGCGTGCTGACAAAAAGAGTTACTTCTCGGATTCAGGCCTTAAGGAAATAGATACATCACACTTATAGGTGAAGTTTTTACAATTTATAGGTATGAAATATAAGGAGTGTTGTACTTAAAGAATATGGCATCTATAGAAAATTTACAAATTTGACCCTATAGTGTCAATTTTTGGTCAATATCTCCATTTGTTGACTGCGAGAAGTAACTCATTTTGTCAGCACGCCTCACATATGTTTCCTCACTCTTATAACGTTTTTTTGGTAAGTTACACATCCAAGTGTTGCCATAGCCCCAACTGGAGATGGGTACCACAACCGGTTAGTAGTTTGTTTAGATCTTGTTAGTTCTACATTCCTCACACCACTAGATTCCTCTTCTTCAGCATCATTCCATATTTATTTGCTCAGATCAGTTCCTGAGTTCCCACTTACAGATAAGCTGTGAATGAACTTGATATTGTTATATCTAAATAAACACATCAAGGGACACCTGGCAATATTATAGTTTCGCTGTTTTCTTCACAGTACGGTAATTTTGAACTAGAAAGAAAAAAAAGAGCTAATCTCACGAGAGCACCTGCCAACCACCCACTTACATTTATACCTGTATATATGCCTATTTTGTATAAAGATAAACAGGAAGTATTCACTTGCCAAGGGAATTTATTCCTCTATTCCACTTTACTATATTGAGGGTGTCATTTGTTGCTTCCCTTGACTCGGATTTTTTTTTTTTTGGTGTTTTGATACATTTTTAGTTTTTGGGCCTTAGGTGTCAGCGGTAGGATCTATCTCAATCTTATACGACATACGTTTACAGTCGTACAGACAAAATTGTCCAAAAAAGCCATCCATTGTTGAGGAAAAGGTAGTTGTCTAAGGGTGTGGCAGGCATATGCCGCTGGTTTATTTAGGTTTAGTAAGTGTTTTACGCCACTTGCAAAACAATAAGGTCATACAAGTGCCGAAGATTAGAGGTGTCACAAGAGGGTAACAAACATTAAAAATAAGGAGCGGAGATAAGGGCGATAGATGTTTGATAGGAAAGAAGAACCAAACCAAACCAGAGCACCCACAAATTAAGGAAGACACAGTCCTTCAAGTAGTGAGTGAATCATGAAACTTCCACAAAAGTAAAACAGCACAAAACATATGAAATATAACCCAAAGTTATATATATAACATTAACAACAAACACACCAAAAACCAAGAAAAGAGTGGAAAAAGACATTCTTGTGCACAGAGCTCAGGTAAGATCAACTTTATTACACACAAAAAAAACAACAACAAAAAGTGAATTTCACAGCTTTGGTCATCTCTTCCTGAAAGCTAGACTGGTCACCGTCTGTCCAGTTTGACCTCCAAAAGTGAATTTGGGAGCAGGAAGTTCATCCATCAAATCAAAATCTGCAAGAAAAAAACCCAAAAAAATAAAGACAAACTATCATTAAATTGAGCTAGTCGTCTGCTTCACTACGGACAGCATACTTCAAAACTTGAAAATCCAGAAAGAACAGATTTTTGATTTTCTCCCCATAACCTAAATTATTTAACTCATCATAAACTATCAAATTCATGGGAGCACCCATGACACCTAACCAGCTTGCCAGTAAAGCCTACTACAGAAAAGTATCAGGGTAGAAGGCAAGAGGAAGACCAAGAAAGAACTGGATCCAGGGTGTGAAAAATACCCTGAGAACATTCAATATCCCACCCAGCCAGGCCATCAAACTTGCTAGAGACAGGAAGCTCTTTCTCCCCTCGACGCCCTCGAGGTACAAGAGGACGGATAAAGTAAAGTAAAGTAAGTGCTAGAGGTACAAGAGGACGGATAGAGTAAAGTAAAGGAAGTAACCAGCTTCTCCCCTCGACGCCCTAGAGGTACAAGAGGACGGATAAAGTAAAGTAAAGACCCTGGAGGAGCTATCATGATGCCAGCTTTGCCCACAACACAGATGAGCCAATAGCACACAATATTACTAGATGACTAGATGTACTGATACCAGCATTTTCGAGTGGGTCAACCTTAAACTATACAGTTGTGAAGCAGCGTGGTGAAATCAGGCGCTCCTCAAAATACCGAAATCGGAGCAAAAGGCATTTTTCGGCGAGCTTGGAAATTTTGGTCACCACATTCCATGTGTTAAAGTAAAGGCACAACATAATATGTCACTTTTCAGTTTTCAACGACTCTTTAGCAATTCGAGTTACCAAAACTTTGGTGGCCATTTCCTTTCTAATTTCACCACTGAAACCAGGTGACCTCACTTCCTTCAATTACAGATATATTTTGAGTTCTACTCAAAAGAAAGGAATATATTTATTTCATTGGAAGCAAGGCAAATAAATCAGCTTTCACATGATACCAATAACTCCACATGCCCAAAAACTGACTAGCGCCTGATTCCACCGCGTCGTTACACAATTACAATGGGGGGTCTTTTAGTTTTAGTAAGAGTTTTACGGCACTTGCAACACAATAAGGTCATATGAGTGCCGAATATTAGAGGTGTTACAAGATAGTAACAAACACAAAAAAGGAGGAGAGATAAGGACGATAGATGTTTGCTAGGAAAGAAGGAGCAACCACCCAGACACCGGCCAACCACCCATTCAATGGGGGTCTGACAGACATCAACAGTGCTTATTTTTAGGTTACAGAGTTTAGGTAGGGTTAGGGTTAGGGTTTCAGTGTTATTAGAATTTTAAAAATATTATTCTGTTTCCGAGCCTTTAGGTTCACCAAGTTTAGAGTTGGCTTCATTAGCATACAGTATCAGGTATTGATTCTTCCAGTGTATAATATTTTTGTAGGCTGTGCTGTGGTTAGTCAAAGATGAAAGCCCAAAGATCAAAGCAACAGCTCCTCTCTAGTCTACAGTCCAGCCAGTTTCACTGCCCACACAGACCTGGGATCCCCATATCAGTGTCAGTGGACATGGGAATATTCAGCTACAGTCCAGCCAGTTTCACTGCCCACACAGACCTGGGATCCCCACATCAGTGTCAGTGGACATGGGAATATTCAGTGTATGGATTGAAATAGTAAGTCATACTGTTTCTTTTTTAGTTTTCGTAGAGGTTTTACGGCGCTCGCAACTGCATAAGGTCATATGAGCGCCAGAAGATTAGAGGTGTTACAAGGGAGTAACAAACATAAAAAAGAAGAAGGGGAGAAAAAGACGATAGATGTTTGATAGGAAAGAAGGAGCAAACCACACCAGAGCACCCACCAACCACCCACAATACTGTTTCTTGCACTGACTGAGTACGCAGAAATCAACACACACTTCTGAAGGATTGATTGTGCAGAACTGCGAATGTTTCATGCGGCTATAATCACTCGCATATCAGCAGCATGATCTGAATTAGTAACAACAACAACAACAACATCAGCAATGCGATCAGAACCATGCTAACTACATCTTTCATCTTGGACTTGATGTTGTTGAGCTTTCAGTAGCATCAAAATTTCTTTGATAGTTTGCTCATGGCCTTGGAAGCTTTGCCAATTCTAATGTGTAGATCAACATCATTATGAATAAATTAGACAAGGTAGGCTATCTATTATATATTTGTGGTGGCCGAATTTTGCTATTCAAAAGGCTTTTTAATGGCTGCATCGATCGCCTTGCGGTTTTCGCTAAAAGATTCTTTAAAATATTCTTCAGATCATGATGGCGCGCTCATATGACCTTAGCAGTTGCGAGCGCCGTAAAACCCTATACTACTACTACTAGATCATGACGCCCTTCGTTTTTTCAGTTTTGAGACAGTTTTGCTGAAAAAAGCTAAATTTCTTTATTTCACCGATCGCTTTTGTAGGCCGACGCTTCTGTCTCTGTAATGTTAGAAAATCCGCCAGGTTTGTTTCTTTCAAGTCGTACTTCCGTTCGATACTATCACGCATTGTCGCGCAATACTGAGCAGTTATTCAGCAACTTGGAAACATATGTGTCACTTTTGTCTCAAGATTTATTGCTCCATTCCAGTAGAGTGTATGTTGTAGGCCAATGACTTTCAGTTGATGTTAATGCACCGATCATTCCTTTCACTGAAAGGGGACCCAGCTAGTTACAATCTAGATTCGAGTACTCTTAGGGCAAGAAGGGCTAACACTAAACGTTGCTGGTATTTTTTCCAGAATATCTTTCGTTTAGTTTTGGTAGAGGTTTTACTGCGCTCGCAACTGCATAAGGTCATATGAGCGCCAAGGGGTGGATGTCAAAAGAGAAGTCCTTACCGGGAATCAGACTTACTCTGCTCACCTCTCTAGCTTCAACAGCACAAAGTCTGCTTCAACTATCAAGGCACCCCGGTAATAGCGGTCACAAGAGTGTGACAAACATAAAAAAGAAGTAGAGGAAAAATTACGATAGTAAGGATTAAGAAAGAAAAAGGAGCAGTTCCCAGTTGCAGTTCAGGCCCAGTTCTGAACATGACATCGATGAATTGGTCTATTTACAATTCTACTGCGCATAAGAACAGGTTAATGTCCCCCCTTTGGGAATGGCCAATTGCAGTCCATAATCTATACACAAGTGTACTGTCCTTGAACCCAGAGATACAAACTAAACTGACTGATAAAGATACCACAATGGGAAAATGACAGTAATTTTTCAACTCTAGAGATCCAGTACTGTCACGATGAAAGGGTATTTCAAAGAACGTTGGGGGAGGGGCTACATGTAGCCGCAATAAATATACCATCTGGCACACACTTAGCAAACCTGCACACAGCAAACAGACTTTCAGGTCCTGAATTTTCTTCGTATTTTCTATGCATTTCAATCACACATTCATCCGAAACGAAAAGATATCCGCTTCTCACCAATTTCTCTCTAAATAATTTATAAATATGCATGCTCAACTCTACATCACAGTTTGTGACCTCAGAGCTTTTTTCTGGTCCTATCTCCATATTTTTTTAAACAACGAAAATGTGACTTCTTCTTAAGCTCACTCTTTGCTAAGATCATGAACTGTTTTCACTATTATTAAAAACGAGCTGGGTACCCCGCTAGATGAAGGGACTCAAATTACTCAAAAGAATCAATCGTCAAGTCATTGTGGAACCAGTATGCACTGTTTGTGAACGGAACCCTCACTTGTTTACCATGTCGTCTAAGAAGACGAACTTTCCCAAGATTAGATTTAAACGAAACTAATGAAAAACTGAAAATTAAACTACAGTGACTTAAGACGCCATATTATAACTGTGCACCCTTTAAATGATTCTGAACCACCGTTAATTTTGTCAATTTCTAAAGGTTGGGAAGTTATAGGAGGCCAAAGTGATGTACTTTCACAAATATAACATCATGTATAGATGGAGATGGTACAAAAATGCACTGAGCTCATCGCGAGTCGTTCTCACCAGCCTCAAAATGCTGCGTCAGCTGTTCCTTGGTCCAGTTGCAGCTGGTGAGCAGGAGAAGCCCGCCGGGCCGCAGGGCGGCGTGCACATGTTGCCGATACATATCTCTGTCTGTGGTCACCTCGGGGCGCAGGAGGCAGATGGCGTCGTACGTGCCTTTGTCAAGACACACGTCAAACTTGCCACCGGCGCACAAACCCTCCACTGCCGTAGATGCTAGGATATCACACACCTGTGATAGAATATAGAGGTGCATGTCATTTACATTTCACATGCTAATGGCGGGTAAAAATTGGTGGCGAGTGTGTACAGTGTAGCACGCACATAGCGAACACGCAGCGATCTATAACAAACACATACATAGAGAACAATGTGCACATCGCGAACACACCCATAGCAAACACAGACATAGAGAACAAACGCACATAGCGAACATACACATATATAATATAACAAATACACACATAGAGAACAATATGCACGTAGTTAACATACACATAGTGAACACACATATATAACAAATACACACATAGAGAACAATATGCACAAAGCAATATACACACATAGGGCACACGATATAACAAACACAGACATAGAGAACAATATGCACGTAGTTAACATACACATAGTGAACACGCATACAAACACACAGAGAGAACAATATGCGCCTATAGCAGACATACACATAGGGAACCCACACATAGTGAACACACACAGAGAGAACAAATGCACATAGTTAACATACACATAGGAAACACACGCATAACAAACACACACAGAGAACAATAGGCATATAGTTAACATACACACAGCAAACACGCATATATTATATAACAAACACACACATTGAGAACAACATACACATAGGGAACACGCACCGAGAGAACAATACGCGCCTATAGCTAACATACACATAGGGAACACACATATAACAAACACAGACATAGAGAACAATACGCGCCTATAGCTAACATACACATAGTGAACACGCATATATAAAACACACACCGAGAGAACAATACGTGCCTATAGCAGACCTACACATAGGGAACACACGCACAGAAAACATGCACATAGCAAACAGATTTTCCGGTCCAAAACTTTCTCCTATACAAGTATATATTCTTTGTGTTTAAAACAGGGACACAGCGAAATTCAAGCATAACAAAGAGATTTACGCAGCCCATCGATTTTGCTATGAGTGTGCTAGACTGTGGGTTTAATGTCCTACTGGTTTGTTTGTTTTCGTACTGTTTTACGGTGTTCACAACTGCATAAGGTCATATGAGCGCCAAAGGGGTGAATATCAATAGAGGAGTCGAAACAGGAACTCAGGCTTACTCTGCTCAATAGTCCAAGATGGCCAACCATTGTCGAACAGGTAAGTGGTTCATTTCAGACAGGTAGATGTCTTGGACAGTGCCATCATACTATACAAAAAGCAAAAGGGGAGAACTTGTAGAAAGTGGGTGACTCAAGAGGTGATTGTCTTGAGCAGGTGGCTGTTAGAGCAGGTTCAACTGTCTTCATTATAATAAGAATAGAAAGCATTTCTATAGCGCAAATCCCCGCTCAGCAGCAAGCTTCACAATCTATACTATTACCCCAGCAGACCTGAGAGCATTCTGAAACAATCTCAACTTCCTGGGAAGCGTACAGAGCAAGCAGTCATTTATAGGCGCTAAAACTCTAATATACTGACAAGATCTTTAGTTTTAGTAAGAGTTTTACGGCACATGCAACACAATAAGGTCATATGAGCGCCAGAGGAATAGAGGTATTACAAGAGAGTAACAAACATAAAAAAAGAATGAGGGGAGATAAGGACGATGGATGTTTGATAGGAAAGAAGATAGCAAACCACACCACAGCACCCGTCAACCACCCACTCTGAGTGAATCGGACTCACCTGAAACTCCACACCCTGCAGCTCTTCTTTCTCTGCTACTTGCTTCGCCAGCTGTATCGCCCCCTCGCTGTAGTCCACTCCAACAAGGTTTTCATATCCCTCTTCTCTCTGGAGATTAAAAAAAAAAAAGACAGGATTGAAAATCCTCTCATCATGTGCAAATAAAAAAACCAACAACCCATAAAGTGATCATTTCTTGTTTTGTATACGTACCAGATAGTTACAAGAGAGAAACTACCAAAGTCCTGCATTCTGTCGCCTCACCTTGTGTCCTATAAACACAACAATTTATAGAAACAAAATTTTCCAGCGGTTAGTGCGCTCGTCTCAAAAGCGGAAAGTCCGAGTTCAAGCCTCGGTTTGGACACAGATTTTTTTTGGGACCCCCTCCTGCCTACCCAGCAGTAATGGGTACCTGACTTCAAGTTGGGGAAGTAAAGGCGGCGTGGAAAGTAACTGGCCACCCTACCACAATATGCCGAAGGCCCAGGAAGTTGTCTCACTAACAAGGCAATCCCCAATGTCCGGATCGGATGTGGGAACAACTTTACTTTACTTTAATTTTCCACGAGAACAAACTGTTGGCCAGCTATTCATATGTGCTATGGCTAAAATTTTGAAATTAAAAAAAATTTGCAGTATCGTAATTTGTGTTATATTGGTTGCATCCCTATTGAAAAAAAAAGCAACTAAAGAAACATTATGCAAGTACAACTGCTAGAAGAAGGAAACAGTTAATCTTTGCTCTCTCCTGAAAAATATTATATTCTAGGCTTAGAATAGTTTTAAAACAGCTTTCCGAAGATATATATAACAACATTTTGTATGGTTCAGAGATATGGAAAACAAACAAAACAATTCAAAGAAAATTTTTTAAAAGCTTCCAAACAAAATGTTTGCGAATATTTCTACTGATGAAATGGAATAAATTTATTACAAATAATGAAGTGTTGAAAAGAGCTGGAATTGAAGATATCAACACAACCATATACAGGAGAAGATGGAGATATCTTGGACATGTTCTTAGAAAGCAGAAGAAAAGAATGCCCTATTTGACATGATATGGGAAATCAACTGGAAAAAGAAATCGAGGAAGACCAACTGGAAGCTATAGAGGCACAATAAGGGATGAGGCAATCACCCAGGGCCTGGATGTGTCGAAATTGGAGGACGTGGCCAGGGACAGACAAGTGTGGCGTCCACTGCTCTCCACCTTATATACCTGTCGGTATAAGGAGAGAGAGAAAAAAAAAGTAAAACTACATCTTCCACAAGAACAAATAAAAGTTGTCGCGTAGTAAAAGCAATCTTTTCTTACCAAAGCCAGAAGGAGCATGCCGTTGCCGCAGCCCAAGTCAAGAATCCGAGACGAGACGAGAACCTCTTCCTGTTTCGTCAACCATCTCACCATTCTGTCCTGTACCTCCTCCCCAAACCTGAGAGAAACGAGGGAAAACGGAAAAGTTTGCTATGGTGAGAGGATGCCACTTAAATCCAAGTCCTTCACTCTCCCTTTAGGGCCTTTTGTGGCCTAGAGGTTAAGGTGTTGGCCTCTCATTCAAAGGTCCCAGGTTCGAATCAGGGTTGCGACCGAAAAATTTTGGGCTCTAAAATTGTCTTCGTTCACCTTTTTTCCTGCTCTCTAGCAATGTTCTATCGTCTGCTTTCGTCTCCTCTTTCTGCCCCCACCCGCTCGCAACTGCATAAGGCTAAGGTCATATGAGTGCCAGAAGATTAGAGGAGTTATAAGAGAGTAACAAACATAAAAAAGAAGAAGGGGAGATAAGGATGATAGAGGTTTCAGAGGAAAGAAGAAGCAAACCACACCAGAGTACCCGCCAACCACCCACATTTGTCTGTATGTCTTTCCTAACATGAAATGAAAGAAACCACCATCGCATCATCATGCTTCTCTTTGTTTCAAGACAAAAAAAGAAAACTTTTGGAAAGAGACATATTTCATTTTCAAGCTAAACGATAGATCACTTTTGTGGAGTGTATAGAATTTGCAGTAGAAAAGTAAGATAAATGTGCTTGGAAGGTCATAGCAGCTGTCCCCGTCTTTTATGCAAGAAAAATTCTGAAATTATGGAGACTGAGCCCAAAAAGGTGAAATTATGCGATTCTGTTAATTTTAGTAAAGAAGGCCAAAGGAAAATAATCAGAAATAATGCAAAAAAAGATCAAATTTTGGTAATTATGCGGGGTGCATAAAACCATGGGGACAGTAATTGGTCTAAAAACATCCAACTTCTCTACATAATAACTAACAAGAGCAGAGACTGGGATTAAATCAGAGAAAAAATAAGTGTTATCTCAGGGAAAAAAAGAAAGACACTTCAAACATTTACGTTATATCCGATTTTATTAAAAAGCCCCATCTACACATTTTACACAATATTTAATCAACATGGCACAAATAATCAAAGAAGAATGGTAATGGTATGTCATCCGGTCGTAGAAATCAAGCAGATTTTTGCTTTAGCTTTAATTTTAATGATGGGACACAAAAGGCAAAACCCTTCTCCCCCCCCCCCCCCCACCACCCCCAATGCTTGGCAAAATCAATGCATCTCGTAGATGAAGGTGTGCAATCTATTATCTTTATTTCTTGAATTTGAGAAACACATGCCTGCCTAGTTTCATTCTGCTCTTTGAGAATTATAGAGTTTAAAGGGAAGCTGTTAATATTATTCATCATTTGAAAATTTGCACCTCACAGGAATGACAAGATGAACTAAATTTTTTTTTTAAAGCCTGACACTGACAGTGACAGCGAAATTTTACTTTTTGACGCAGCAAAGACAAAGCCGTACCATATCTCACCAACATCTCCAACATCACCAAAGGCTTCAAGTTCTCGGGCGTACGTGTCATCCCAGCTGGAACAAAACCAAAAAAAAGCAACAACATAGAAAAAAGTCTGTACGCGCCTCAAGAGAATATTACTGATACAACATTTTGCCTTCAGAAAAATCAAGAAAATTCGAAAAACAATGAATGTCTTTACTCTGAGAGAGAGAGAGAGAGAGAGAGAGAGAGAGAGAGAGAGAGAGAGAGAGAGGGAGAGAGAGAGGGAGAGGGAGGGAGGGAGGGAGGGAGGGAGAGAGACAGACAGACAGACAGAGAGAGAGAGAGAGAGAGAGAGAGAGAGAGAGAGAGAGAGAGGGAGAGAGAGAGAGAGAGACAGAGAGACAGAGAGAGAGAGAGACAGACAAAGAGAGAGAGAGACAGACAGAGAGAGACAGAGAGAGAGAATTATCTATCAAAAAAATGTATCCATTTTGTTGCAGATGAATAACTTTGGGGTACCGGTATCATGAATTTTATGTTGAAAAGTGAAATGAGCAACACCCAAGAGAAACTGGTCAATATAAATCATATAAATGTCCATCATAGTTTATAAAATAATACTGGTAATAAAATAAGATGTTTTTCTCCTCTTAACAGAGACGACTAGGGATGAAGAAAGGAAACAAAAATATGTCATTGGTGCATATAGGGGAACCTTGATTTTGTGAAGACATTTAACGCTGCCAGCCCCACGCGCGTATATTTTCAGCAGCGCCTGTACCTCCCACCATCCCATGAGTCTATGATACCCCTATACATCAGCTGAGAAGAATGGTATACACACTATTGCTTTGTTCCCAGTTCTGAGGATTCAAAATCAGCATCATTTTGTTTTTCCATTCTGTTGCAGGTCCAGTCTGAAAGCCACTGCAAACACCATCAGTCGCAGGTAAGACTGAAAATGAGAGAAAAGAAGGATTGTTTTGTACCTGTGTTCAAATCTTTTGAAGGAACACACACACACACATACACACACACACACACACGTGTAAATAAAGTCTATGTATAGTCAACTGTCCAAGACGGCTACCCATCGCCTGAAGAAAAAAGTGCTTCTCTTATACAGAGGTGGACTATAGATTTTTTTTAAAAAAACATGAGGAGGGGGGTAGTGGTTGTTTGAATCAGTGAAAGTCTAGGACAGGTGGCTATTATTAGAGCATTTTCAAATGTGTGACATATTATAAGCATACATACAAGTGTTAGATGAAAAGTTTGGTACCAGCCATACGGAGACCATAAAGCAGGTGTTTAGACAGATTGGTTTTCTTGGCTGATTTCAAGGGTCACAACTCAGTCCCCACTCATTGGCTTCCCTTGTTTATTCTATAATGAAATAATAACCCATATATATGCAATAATACTGACACCAGAGGGAAGATAGAATTTTGCCTATATATAGAAGGAAAATAAATTATGTATATATGTGCATGTCTGAGTGATGTGCGTAATTTTGGGTGCCCGTGAGAACCAGCAGTGGCTCCAGAGCAAATTTTTATGAGGTGACAATTAAAGAATGTCACTACGATTTGATGGAGGATTGAACCAATGTGTATCAGTACCACGACATGCTGTGCAAGAACGACTCTGCTTCGGCCCTATATATAACACATCCTGAGTTCTTCGAAGGGCGAGAGCCCAGATGTTGCTGGATCGATAACAACAACCACGTCTGTGTTCTATTTGAACTTTAAAATTTGCAGTTTCCAAGGACACTCTGCTCTGGGAGTCTCCAAACTTTGACGGACATTTTCACAGTAATAAAATTTTACTTCTGACGCAAGGCAACCCTCACCTCCTTCAATCGCAAAGATATATCAATTTCTATCATGTAAGAGTAAGATTCACCAATAGATAGACAAATGAACAGGCTTTACAATTAGGCCTATACCAATAACTCCAGGTGCCAAAAAAAATGCAGAGCACCCAATTCCACCCATATCATGGCACAAATTGACGATGTCATAATGATCAAAGAATTTTCTTTTACATAGTTATAGATCTACTCATAGTCTAAGTATAATAACGCCCACATATATATATCCAAATATTTAAGTCTTAATTCCTTTCCCTTATTTCCATTTAAATGGAAAAAAGGGGGTGCGCATACACACACACACACACATATATATATATATATATATATATATATATATATAAAATAACAATTTATAATGATGGTAAATGGTGCGGTCTGAGGGGAGAACTCGGGAGAAAAAATAATGAGCGCAAGAAAGACATCCAGAATCAGGACTAACACGTGTTTCTATTAAAGTTTAAAGTAGTGAGTAAACAAATCATGACAATGGTAGATACCACGATGTGTCCGTAGCAAAAAAATAAGCCGGTACAATTTAAGAATGTGGGTCTCGTCTGTTTAGACTTGGCATCATCCACACAAAGTACTGGACATCGGTACTGATTTAAATATTCGGTATCGATGTATTGTCAGTAGATAGATCGGTAACATTTTTACTTTTACACCCACACACAGATGCACTGATATGGAGGCTAAACTGCCAGCAGAACACATGTGTGGCCACTAAAACCCTTGCAAATCAATTGTTTTCTTGTAAATATCAATCCTAATTGCCAAAACATCAAACCATCGTGAAATTCAGGGGGACATGCCCCCCTGAAACCCCCCAGTTTCTTTTTAGGTCAGATGAAACCCCCCCATGTTATTAAAAATAAGTCAAATACTACAACGCCACTGGTCCTAGTTCTGTTTTCAAACATTAATAACTCAGTAACTATTGATTTGCGGCAAAAATGAAGGCCATATTCGTGTTCAGCATGCAAAATACTACTAGAAAAAAAGTATATCAAATGTGTACATGAGACGCGTGTTTTAGTAAAAAAAAATACCGATAGATCTATAGATTCTAGATCCTGCCTACATTTAAAATGAGCAGTAAAATTTCACTTGTTCTTAACAAGTCAAGGGGGGTTTCAGGTGGGCCCTGACCTAAGGGTGGGCCGACTCCGACAACTTCCGAACTTTCAACTCTGAAGATTTTTGGTTTCCAGTTCGTCGAATTCGACTCCAAATCCGAATTCAGGTCAAGATAGCAGCCAATCAAATTTGAGGAAAGGCAAGGTCAATTCGGTCGGATTCGTGTCAAGTCGTTCTCCCTCCACCCGTCGAGTCGACCACGCTGTAGAGAATCCCGACGTCCCGAAACCGGTGCAGATAAAGGGGTCGGGGAGGGGGGAGGAGCGGGGAAGAGGTCACAGATGTCGGGATTGAGGCAGGCAATGTTTTAAATGTTTCTTGGGTGCAGTTTTGCATAAAATTATTTAGTTTTAAACAAATTAAATATGTTTTCGCTCCTTGTGTTCCATTTTCTCCCTGGCTGCTCTAGTCTCTAGTTTGGGAATTCGGGTTCGGACTCGGCCTCCTGCCCAATGTTCGAGCTCCGACTCCAATCCCACGAATTCGTCGAATTCCGAACTTCGACTCGACTTCGCCCATGCTTATTCTGACCCAACCAAAACATTGGAGAGTTTCAGGGGGGTCATGCCCCCTGAATTTGACCATAATTTGATTTTTCGTAGTGACTATTTCTCCAAACGTTCGGGAAAATAAAGCTGAACTCTATTTCTCGGAACGGTTTCCGATCTCAAGATTTTTTGGGTTATCTGCGAGATTTAGGCGTCATCCTTTCATTCTGCGAGGACTGGGAAACCTATTTTGCATTAAGTCACCCAGCAAAAACTAAAATCCTTCATGTAAAAAAAATCCCCCCACCCCTAATACATTCACACCTTTCACACACACATGGGCCACTCCACTCCATTCGTTTATTATCAACAAATCTCGAGAACGGAAACCGTTCGGAGAAATCGATTCTAGATCTAGAGCTCAAGTTTATTTTCCCGAACGTTCGGAGAAATAGAGCCGGTCATGATTTTTTGCAATTAGATCTAGATCTAGATTCTAGATATCTAGCTCGAGCCTCTAGATCTAGATATAGATCTGGTGGTTTGATAGGCTATATTTATTCTCCATATCGGATATGTTATCGGCACGCGCATTAAAAAGTAATGGGTTTTTTTTAACTTTAAAAGGCAGTCTTGTTAAAGAGTAGACTTAGAAGTAGAATCAGAAGTAATCGAGGGTGGGTCAAAACTAGTATCCTCAAATCCAATCCCTGTACCAATATGCCTACTAAAGAAACATACACGCTTCTGAATGATTCAATGCTCCAATCGAAGTATGTTTATTAAGCCAGCAAGATTTGACTTCTTTATAGATCTCTAGATCTGTGTAAACTTGTGTAGTCGTGTGTTGTGATTAGTGATGGAACTGTTGATACGAGTTACCCCCCTTGATACAGGAGATGGCCCGGAAGTTTTTTCCTCGGGAAATAAGCGACGTGACCTCTAAGGGAAAGTGACGTCACTGGTCACGGGATTTAGCGCCATATTGTGGAGGGTGTTTACTTTTTCCTGTGTCTTGTTGTGTATTGTCGAAGAAAATCTGTGCTGTTCTGCTATTTCAGTGGTTTTCAAGGGGTATGTTTTTTCAATATATGTTTTCTTAACTTCTTATAGTTTTAGGTTGTTGGGGTCCATTTGTTGTTCATATCCCGTTCAATGTTGGATTGGTTTCGCCTATTCAATGTGATTACTGCAGAGGGGGGAGGTGCAAAGTCGGTCATGTCATGGGTTTGTCATGTCATATGATGTGGGTCCATTGTGGTGGAAAGGGAGCAGTCATGGATCTTAGAATTTAGGGCACTTGGAAAAGCTTAGTTCAATCGGGACGTCTCGTGATTTCAAGTAACTTGAAACATACGCCTCGTGTTGGTTTTCTTTTTTTTTTCGACATCGTTTAGTTCGTGAGTAAAATCTGTGTTTTTTATTTTTTGTTTTAACACAATTGGTTAGGCTAGAATCTTGTAGACTAGAATCTACTTGTGTAACAGATTATAATCCTATTGGATTTTGTATGACAGCCTATAATCAAGGGTAAAATAAATGGTCGTACTCTGTTTTATAAGAATAGATTCTAGAGTCTAGATCTAGATCTAGATCTAGATCTAGATCTTGTCAAACTGGCCCATACACGATGTCAAATTGAAATCACTGTCACTGGCCCAGACTTGGCCTAGACTGCCATGGGCCATAGTCTTCTATAGTAATCATAGCAGACTGGTGACTCACCTGACAGCTGACTGTTCTAATTCAAGGTAGAATCTAGATCTTCTAGATCTAGATTAGATCTAGTTCTTTTAGATCCAGGTCTGGGCTACTTTCATTTCATGAACATATCAAATTGAACCCTGCTGTAGATCTAAATCTAGATCTAGATCTAGTCTAGATCTAGATTTAGATTCTAGATCTAGAGTACATCCTGTGGTGCGATATACAGTAAGCGATCTTTTGTGGATATCTCTGGAAGTTACAGGTCGATCTTCATGATTTTTTCACCAGAAGTTAGAAAAACTTCCTCTCTATACGGTGTAGCGCATTACTGTAACAGCAGTTTAAAATTTCTATATGTTGTGGTGGTGTTTGTTTGGTAACGTGTGTCTGGTTTGGTGCAACATATCGTCTTGTTGGGTGCGCAATAGTACCATGTTTACAGCTCTAGATCTAGATCTAGCTCTTTTCTGGCACTTTTCATCTTTCTCTATCCTTGCTTTGTCTTCTTTTCCTTGCAAGAAGTTCCTGTACTGACCATAATGGAAGGCCAAGGTCAATTAGGCGTGTTCTTTTTGGGAGCTGTGCGCCCCCTAACAGGAGATTTCCTTACACCTTGTGTATGTGTTTTGATAATGGATAAAAAGAAAGGTGCTGTGGACACAAGAAGGGGAAAGAAGAAAACAAGAATAAGACTATACCTAGACTAGTATTTTAGAAGGAAAAGGACAAAAAAGAAGAAGAAAAAGACGTGAAAAGAAGAAATTGAAAAAGAAAGGTGCTGTGGACACAAGGAAGTGAAAGAAGAAAACAAGAATTAGACTATACCTAGACTAGTATTCTTTAAGGAAAAGGGCAAAAAAGAAGAAGAAAAAGACATGAAAAGAAGAAATTGAACATTTTGGAGATTATATTTCCATATTAATTAATTTTGACATGAATACATTAACTTATCATCTTCCAATGGCAATATAATGCATCCAAATGGAAGGAAAACAGTCTGTTTCAGTGCACAATGCAGGTCATAAAGAAATAACTTAATAAGTAAAACAAACAAAGGGCCTAGAAGCCACACTATCAATGCCAAATAGCAAAAAAGCCGATATTGCGCACGAAACGGACTGCCCAAATTTGGTCCGCTTCAGTGCGCAACCCTATCTAGCACGTTCCTGGGCATTAAGAAGCAGCCTGCGATAGTATTTATCGATTCTAGTATACATTCTACGATACATTAGAGCTAGATTAGCTAGATGTGCTAAATAATCGACTACTCAAGCGCTTAGTAAATTGATCGATACCGGTTACGAAAACCATTAATATGAAGGGGCAAAACTTTCCGACACCGTAGAATCACGTGTGTTGACAGGAACCTCCAAAACGAAAGTGAAATAAGCTGCATTCTGCGCATGCTCACAGAAAATGACCTCGTTTTCGCTGTTCTTATCCAAAACAAAGCAGGAGACCGGGGGTTGCGCACCAAAACTGTAGCGCGGTGATGCGGGCCTACTCTAGATTCTAGGCCTACTGTACAGATTGTATAATTTATAGGCTATAAATATAGAGTCAATCCTGTGGTGCGATATACAGTAAGTGATCTTTTGTGGATATCTCTGAAAGTTACAAGTCGATCTTCATGATTTTTTCACCAGAAGTTAGAAAAACTTCCTCTCTAGATCTATACGGTGTAGCGCATTACTGTAACAGCAGTTTAAAATTCCTATATGTTGTGGTGGTGTTTGTTTGGTAACATGTGTCTGGTTGATGCGCAAAGTGTCTGTTTGGTGCAACATATGTCGTCTGGTTGGGTGCGCAATAGTACCATGTTTACAGCTCTAGATTTAGATATCTAGATTAGATCTAGCTCTTTTCTGACACTTTTCATCTTTCTCTATCCTGGCCTTGTCTTCTTTTCCTTGCAAGAAGTTCCTGTACTGACCATAACGGAAGGTCAAGGTCAATGAGGCGTGTTCTTTTTGGGAGCTGTGCGCCCCCTAACAGGAGATTTCCTTACACTGTGTGATGTTTTGATAATGGATAAAAAGAAAGGTGCTGTTGACACAAGAAGGGGAAAGAAGAAAACAAGAATTAGACTATACCTAGACTAGTATTTTTGAAGGAAAAGGACAAAAAAGAAGAAAAAGACGTGAAAAGAAGAAATTGAAAAAGAAAGTTGCTGTGAACACAAGGAGGTGAAAGAAAACAAGAATTAGACTTTACCTAGACTAGTATTATTAAAGGAAAAGGACAAAAAAAGAAGAAGAAAAAGCCATGAAAAGGAGAAATTGAACATTTTGGAGATTAAATTTCCATATATTAATTAATTTTGACATGAATACATTAACTGATCATCTTCCAATGGCAATATAATGCATCCAAATGGTAGGAAAACAGTCTATTTCAGTGCACAATGCAGGTCATAAAGAAATAAATTAAAGAGTATGGTACTTATTTAGTCCAGTCTGGGAAGAAAGTCCCATTTATACATTGTTATCGTTCACGCATGAGTGCGCGCGCGTGCGTGTGTGTGTGTGTGTGTGAGAGAGAGAGAGGGGGGAGAAGAGGGTGGGTGGGGGGGTAAATATGTTACATTTATAGTATGAGTTGTAGCCTACATATGCGAAATATTCCTGTAAACTATATTATCTAAAAACGCATCTTAATCTACCTCACAATAGGACACAGTCCAACAATGGATACACAGAGACGATCTTATTTTCTATTACAAAGTATGCATGCTTTTACTAGTAGAGAACTGGATTTATTATACTAATAAATCCGGCTCTCTACTTACATTTTTGCGACAAATTGATCCAGAGCATTGCTTTGCAAGGAGGAACCTTTTATGTTGCCAAGTTTCATTCAAATATCATGACTTTGGGAGAAGATATGACTGATAATCTTTGTAAATCTGTAAAAAAAAACGCCACTTTTTTACCTGTTAATGTCTTTACGCAACTCAAAAAGTATGATAGATATTAAAAATCTGACAGCATGACTAGATTCTGCATTAAAAAACTGTACTAGACTGTCAAGTTTCATTTACATACTCCAAGAAATAGGCGAGCTATGACAAATATTGTCTCAAAATGCACCGAAAACCGCCACATTTTTACCTATAAACGTCTTCATAACTCAAAAAAGTAGGATAGCTATGACAAATCTGAAAGCAGGACTAGATTCTGCACTAGAAAATGTACTAAGTTGCCAAGTTACATTTAAATTTATATATACATATGTATATATATATTTAGAATCTATTGAAGGTAGGAACATCAAATTGAATGACGTTACACTATACAACATCCCCCTCCCCCCCAAAAAAATCGGAGTGTCTACGTACACAGTAACCGAGCACCTAGTCTCAGTATCTACGTACACGGTAAACGGAATGAAAATAAATAAATATATTTTGTCCTGTGCTGCCACTTGCTGAAAAAAAGAAAGTCCTACATGCGCTTTTTCAGTAGTTCCCACCCCCCTTATTTGAGCCTGACCTACATCTAGATCTCTACGTTTGATTCGCGGCAAGCTAAGATATCAAACCTAACAACCGCAAAACATTAAATTGTGGTAAAATTCAGGGGGCATGAAACCCCCCACCGTATTTTTATTAGGTCAGGGGGGCAAGCTCCCCTGAACCCCCCCCCCCCCCCCCTACTCTTGGGGCCAAAAACGGCGAATAGCAATTGCGGGGTGAGAACTACCGAAAAAACGCCGTCATACAAGCGTCTTGTCAAGCTCGCTATCGGGACCTGTCAGTGAATCTGTGCGTGTGCATCACATTGTGAGTACCGGTTGGGGTCACCAAAGTTCATTCAAAGTCTGTGCGCTGCGAAGTATAGGGCTCCGGAATGGGGGGAATTATTTATATTTTTTTTTAAAGGTACTGTCGGGGGAGGGGTGGGGATGGCTACACCGGTTATCGGTTACGTGACACTGAGTCTGAGACTACGTGTCCGGTTGCCAGTTACAGTGTACGTAGATTTTGAGGCTACATGCCCGGTTACCGTGGACATGACACTGAGACTAGGCCTATGTGACCGGTTGGCGGTTACCGTGTGCGTAGACACTGAGGCTAGGTGCCCGGTTACCGTGTACGTAGACACTCCAAAAAAAATTAATAGAAAAACAACACACCAGAACAATAACAAGAAGGAAAAAAATGACACTCTAACAAATCAATGTGGTGACAACAAATGAGAAAGAGACTAAGTGAAGCTAAGTGAACTTTCTTTCAACAGTAAAGAGGTTCGGGGAGGGGGGGGGTTCCCTTTTTTAAAAATTTGACTTTTATTCTCACCCAATTCGGGGACCAAAAAATCGAGCCATGATTGATTGGTTGCGGCTGCGACAAACACAGAAGCTAGTTCTATGTGTCGATATCAATAACCCTCCATAGATCTAGATCTAGACAGCACACGAGTGAACACAACACATTAAAAGTTTAAGAGCAGCAGCCTTCATAGGCAACATGTCACATCTGTAGCGAAAAACTGTTCGGAACTGTAGCATTTCTTTATATAAATATTTACTGCGGACATTTTTTGGACCGATTGAACCATATTGTATACGAACAATCTTTAGTAGGCCTATAATATAATTATAGATCTATCTGAAATTTGCGGGAAAGGATGTGATTTCAGAGCGTTGTGAGAAATAGTGCCTGCCAAAAAAATATCCCTCCACGCCCCGTTCA